ACAGTAAAAATAGTTTATGTTCAAGAGAGTCTCAAGCAAGAAGCTTCCTCCACTGAGCAGGGACACACACTGACGTCACTTTGGGTGTGTTGAGTGGCTGTTTGGCGCGCTAAAAACTAGTTCCCTGTACTTCAATTATGTTAAATAATTGTTAAAATGACTAAAAACTTTAATATAAGACTTGGAAAATTATTGAATAGTACCACCTTCTTGATGTTTACTCAAATGGTAATGAATTTAAGCCCTAAAACCAATTACTGTATTGGCAGACTAATACTACAGCTGGTTAGCAGGCAAAAACATGTTGGGAAAAATTCGTAAGGAATTCGTTAACCGAAGTGAAGAATCTTATGGAAGGTAATTCGTTAACCGAAATTTCGTTAACCGAGGCGCTAGTTAACCGAGGGATCGCTGTAAACTGTTTTTAACAAGAAAAGAAAAACTAATAATGGTAACAAAATAAATAAAAATAATAGCATTACTGTACTGATTGAATGGTAAATTCATCATGAACGTACAGAAAAATATAAATTATCTTGTTTATCAACAATACCGTGCCCCCCCCCCGGGCACATTTCGCGTTGGGGGGGGGGGGGGGCAAGTTTCCCAGTTTATCTGGGAATTAATCCTTGAGACAATTAATCCTTCCTGCTTGACACCATGACACCTAAAATGTTGATAAATAACAACAACAGTTTACCTCAAGGTTAAAGGCCTGGTGGTCTTATATATACAGCGGTCCCTCGGTTAACGAATTACCTTCCATAAGAATCTTCAATTCGGTTAACGAAAAAAAATTTGATTAACGAAATCTTACGAAAATCACGTTTTCTTTTGAGCATCAGCTGATAAGCTGAGGAGGTACTCAGCCAATTCAGTAATCTCTTCTAAGTTTACATTCGTTTCCAATGGACTAAATATCAAGAAAATTGTGCTCTTTAATATTTGTGCATTTTTTGATACAGTATTAAAATTATTGGTCATTCTAAAATTTAGCCATCCAAGCTGTCTACATAAAGTTTTTCAATTAATATTTTTGGCAATACATATATATATGTAACTTTATTCATTTATTGAAACTCATTTACATGCACACACTGTCCTAAGGGCAAAACTGAACTGTACATGTAATCAGAATAATGTACAAAATGATTACTAAAATTTTTGTCTAGTGCAAACTATGGCATGCTTACATTCAAATTAATCACTATCTTATAAGAATTCCAGCAATGTAAACTATATTCTACCCGGTCACTTCTATGACATTGTATAAGCAAAAAATAAATACTCAATCTAAAGGATACAAATAAACAAATTAATACTTCACCAGACCTTCAGCGCTAACTGTCAAACACGTCACTGTCACCCCTCCCTCCCTCCCTCCCAACCCCCCACCTTCCCAACAAAGGTTTGGTGTTTTCACTAGGCTTTTAAGTTTTTATCTTATATAATATCTCAGACTAAAGTTAGGAGAATATGATTTGCATTGCTGGAACCCTTGCAAGACAGCGAATAATTTGAATATAAATGTCATATATTTTGCACAAGAGATAAAATTATTCACCTGTATCACTTTACAGTACAGTGGTCCCTCGGTTAACGAGCACAATTCGTTCTAGAAGGTTGCTCGTTAACTGAAAAATTCATTAACCGAAACCATTGTTTCAATGGGTTTTTGGGTAATTGGTTCCAGCTCACCAAAAATTGCCTAAAATCAACAGAAAAGGTAGTAAAGTACACTTACTTTGAGGTGTGTATGTAGAAGGCTCCTGGTTGATGATGATGATGATGATGGGAATTTCACCATAAAAATTTAGTTCACTGTGATTAAAGATTATTTTCTTTGGCTCATTCTACTGCATATATTGTCAATATAATTTGTTGAACAGAAAAAGAAATTATGCTTTTTCACTGATGAAAAGGATTGTTTGCTTAAAAACCAGCTTCCTATACAGCATCATTATTTTCAATAATTGTTAAAATGACTAAATTTAATATAAAACTTTAAAATTATGAATAGTACAAATTGATATTTACTAAAAGAGTGAAATTTAAGCCCGAATCGATTATGGCTGAAGATAATACTGTTGCAGGATCAAAAATAAAGATAAGTTGAAGTGCCTAAGAAACCTTAATCGAGGATTGCCTACAACGTTAAGAATCTTATGGAAGGTAACTGCTAAACCAAAACTGCTAACAGAGGGACTGTAGTGATTTAAGAGTTCTAGTGTATATGCACGATATATACAGTGGTCCTCGGTTAACAGAGCCTTGGTTAATCTAGATTTGTTAATGAATTACCTTCCATAAGATTCTTAACTTCGTTAACGAAAAATCCTCGATTAACGAAGTTTCTACTTGTTTACTTCAACATGTTTCAGGCATTTGGCGTCCAACAGCTGTAGTATTAGTCCGCCAATACAGTAATCGTTCTAGGGCTTAAATTCCTTACCCTTTTACTAAATATCAAGAAGTTTATACTATTCAATAATTTTAAAAGTTTATTTTTTAGTCATTTTACAATTATTGAACATAATTGAAGGTAGGGTCACTAGTTTGTGGCCGCCATCCAGCCTGCCAGCACACCTGTACAGGCGCAGTCTTTGTGTCTTTTCAGTGGAGGTAACATCTTGCTTGAGACTCTCTTCAACTAAATGCTTTTTTCTGTGTTTGCAAGCAAATTATTGGTCATTCTGAAATTTATATACATATTGACAATATATAATGCAGTGCAGTGTTGATTTCAAGAAAATAATCTTGAATTACACCAAGAGAACTAAATTTTATGGGTGAAATGGCACCATGGGGTGACTTCTCTTCACCCCAATGCCTTCTTCTCCCTTCTCCTCACCTATTCTAATTCCCATCATTATCATCCAGGAGCCTTCTTACACCTCAAAGTAAGTGAATTTTTCTACCTTTTTTGTTGAATTTAGGCAATTTCGTGAGCTGGAACCAATTACCCAAAAACACATTGAAACAATGGTTTTGGTTAACAAATTTTTTGGTTAACGAGCAACCTTCTATAACGGATTGTGCTCGTTAACCGAGGGACCACTGTATAGTGATTTAAGGGCGATTTAGGAGAATTTTAGGAGTGTTTCTGACTTTATGCATTTTTGGCTTTACTTTGTATATACTTTTCTGTTAGCTGGAACCATTTACCCAATATCCCATTGAAACAATGGTTTGATTACTGAACAACCCTCTGGAATGACTTGAGTTCGTTAACCGAAGGACCACTGTACTGCACAACTGGGCTTGTTGACCGGCCACCCATAGTAGAGGCCATCCTTTATATTGGTTCATTGTCCGGCCACTTATAGTAGAGGCCATCCTTTATATTGGCTTATTGTCCGGCCACTTATAGTAGAGGCCATCCTTTATATTGCTCATTGTCCGCCACTTATAGTAGAGGCCATCCTTTATATTGGCTCATTGTCCGGCCACTTATAGTAGAGGCCATCCTTTATATTGGCTCATTGTCCGGCCACTTATAGTAGAGGCCATCCTTTATATTGGCTCATTGTCCGGCCACTTATAGTAGAGGCCATCCTTTATATTGGCTCATTGTCCGGCCACTTATAGTAGAGGCCATCTTTTATATTGGCTCAGTACACACCTCCATTAGCTTCACAATTCTCACTTAATCTTTTGTACCTCAACCTTTCTTACCCCTACACCACCAACCCAGAATCACTTCCCTGTCAGTAGGTTTTGTACCTGTCATTGTTGCCAGTAATCATCTTCAACCTTACCATCGAGTCTCTTGTACGTTATTGTATCTCCGGAGACCCTCGTGATGTGTGGAGTCGTCAGGGTGTTTAGAACTTATCTCTTCCTACTTGTAGATGGTAGGTAAGTCTCTGAGCCTCATGTAGTGTGAAGGGAAGAAGAATTTGTTCAGGGACCATTCATAGACTGTTGGTGAAGATTGTGCCTACCACCACTGTGCTCTGCTAAAGAGTGTTTTGATGACTCCTTATACAGTAGTGTGCTTGGGCTCACTTTAGCAAGGATACACTTATAGTGAGTCATCTTGCAAGAATTGGAGCTTCAAGAGAACACAGTAGTATCTTTCTAATACAGTATTATTAAGGCAACTTAGTTAAACAAATGTATGACAATTATAGTTCCTCGGGCTCATAATTCTGGTGCCATAACATCATGTTTGATCTGCCTGCATTTTGTGTTCCTCACTTTGGTGCATTTAAAAAAGGCTTTGGTGAGAACCTTTGTTGGTGAGGAGCTAAATGAGCATTTACCTAACCAGGGCTGTTTGGTCTGAGAAAGGTTGTGTTCTGGATACAGTATCTTTCTCATTGCTTAATACAGTTATAAAAGGTGCAAACTGTATTACTAGGTGTTGTTGTACTGTCCTGTGTGTTGTGGGTCTGAGGTGTGCCAAGGGACGGTTTATAGTTAAATACACTTACAGTCCCTCCCTCCTCCCTGGGGGCTGCTCAAGCAACCTGGAACCTGAGTAGAGTACTGTACTGTACTGTACTGTACTGTACTGTACTGTACTATACTGTACCAGCCATACCGTACCATACTGTACTGTACTGTACTGTAGTAGTTAACCTTGAGTCATAGGATCATGATTGAACACAATACTGTACATTTATGGAACACTTCTAGTTGTGTAGTAGTAATATTCCCGTGCCTTTAACCTTTGGGTAAGATGCTTCTACTTTTTGAACCTTTGGATCTTATAGTTGTAGTGTAGTGGGGAAGGAATGGTTGATCTAGGGCTAACTTTTTTGATGGACATGTTTTATTAAGCACCAGTCCATGTTAGTGGTGTAGGTCCTGGGTTGTCAGACTGTGGACTGTAGCTGGAGTTGCCTAGTCTCTCCTCTGGCATAAATGGGGAATTTCAGGGTCATTCCCATACATCTGATTATAGAAAATGGGACTTTGCCTTAACATATTAAGTCTTTTGAAATGTTACTCATTGGAGGTTTATGGAGAAGTAACTGCAACTGTTCTTTCCTCAGGAGTCACTACATTCAGCTGTGGGAAAAACGCTGTCGCTTCCTCTGTTGCGTGAGGTCTGCCGATGAAAACAGCTCCGAAGCCTTCAAGAATGTTGCAGGTACTGTCCCGACAGAGAGACGGTGTGGAGTACTTTACTGTGTCCTTATTGAAGTGAAAACTTCTAATGTGTGATGCCTGGCTCAAGCTACTTATGTGGTCTGGCAAGTGGCTCCCAGGCCCTCATTAGTGCTTGGAACTCATTTTATGGCTGTAGGCTGCAATTATTTACCACCACCCTGTCTGTTATCCTCATTTATTGGATATAAAGATGATGATCCTTACTTAGCTCTGATACTGTTGGGAGGTAGATGATGTCTCACTTATACTTGTCACACTCTTTTACAGTATTTGACTTGAACCAAAGTAACGTGTTACTGTGGGTGATTTTAGAGAGATAGAGTGGTAACATGCACCAGTGTTGATAAGCTCCTCAACAGCTGATCTTTTAATTCACCTCCATGCAGTCACACAACAAGACCTTCACTGGATGCTTGTTGTCTTAATTCCTGTGTGTTTGTGTGTGTGTGTAATATTAATAATAATAATAATAATAAACAGTTTATTAATAGAGTTGCAGCTGGTGGCTGAAAATATACAAACTTACATGTGATTTAGATATAATAATATATGTTCAATACATTTACAGGGCTGTACAGTACATAAATCAGGAGCTGTTTATTATTTTACCAATACTGTAGATGGGATGGTGCTATTCTTATATCTATCAGTGCGGGCTCTTATGGGCTGAATTTTGTTGTAGTGGCGGACTGCGCGAGGTGGGAGGGGGACTGCCGGTGGCAGGAGGTGGCGATGACGAGGATGGTGCAGTAGTCCACTGCCAAACCCTGTTAGTGCTTGGTGGTGGAGGTCACTGAGGGATGGCATTTCCAGGGTGGAGAGAGCGTTGATGTAGCCGGAGTAGTCTGCGCCGAGCATGATTCTGCAGGCCCTTTTCTGTACCTTCTCTAGCTTGTTGGGTAGAGTTGAGAGAAGATGACCAGGCTGGTGACGCATACGTTAGTTTGGGGAGAATAAAGGCGTTGTAGATAGTCCTCAGCTCTGGCGTGGGTGTCTCAAGTGACCTGAGTCATCGTAGCATGTAGAGTCTGTACGAGGCTGCCGTGACTGTGTTATTTACATGGGCCTTCCAGTCCAGTTTTTGGTCTATGGTAACACCCAGGAGTTTGGCAGACTGCACCAGCTGGAGAGGATGGGCACCCACTGTAACTGCTGGAGCTTGCACTGGAGTGGTGGCAGTATTAATGTGCATGACTACGGTTTTGGTGTGATTGATGGTGACCTTGTTCTCCGTAGTCCATGCCTGTAGCCTGTCCAGGGTGCCTTGTAGCGATTAGTAGTCCAGTGCGGTGTTGTCCACTGTAACCCCCACAGTGCAGTCATCCAAGTACTTCCACCTGTGAGGAGTGTCCGATAGAGCGTCGTTGATCAGGATCAGGATCCTAAATCTTTCTCACATTCGGATTTCTCACTAACATCGTTGTTCATCTGATATCTGGTTTCTCTGTTTACATCTCCTAGACTAAGTACAGTGGGGCATGCTATAACGAATCTAATTGGTTCTAGAACCTTGTTCGTTATAGCATTCGTTCGTTATAGGATTAATCCGTTCCGGGCCCCCAAATACAACCACTTAACACTGAAAAATATAATAAAATTTTAAAAATTGTAAAAAAGTGCATAAATATGCATCTAAACCCCTGAAATAAAGAATATCATTAATACTTGTAATAAAAAACAATAAATTATTAAAAAAGAATAAAAATTTTAAATAATGTTCGTTGTAGGAGTTTCGTTCGTTATAGCATTCTCAATTTTATAGGTAAAACCGTTCGTTATGGGAATATTCGTAGTAGGATCCGTTCGTTATAGCATACCCCACTGTACTTTACATTTCTCCACATTGAATTTCATCTGCCATTTTTCAGACCATTCAAAAAATTTGTTTAGATCTTCCTGTAGTTTTGCGGAGTCCTCGTCAGATTTAATTACACAACCTATTTTGGTGTCGTCAGCAAATTTACTTATGTTGCTGTCTATGCCGATATCTATGTCGTTTATGTATATAATAAATAATAATGGTCCAAGTACTGATCCTTGGGGTACTCCACTTGTGACGTTACTCCAATCGGATTTAGTGCCGTTAATGCTCACTCGCTGTTTTCTGTCCTGTAACCATGAGCCTCCACTTTTCTTATTAGTCTTTCGTGGGAGACTCTGTCGAAGGCTTTGCTAAAGTCAAGATATGCCACATCATAGTCGTACCCCTCGTCCACTGATTCGAAAACAGCTGAAAAGATTGTTAATAGATTAGTTAGACATGAACGCCCGCTTATGAAGCCGTGTTGGGAATCATTGTATGTTTGTCTTTGATACCCCCAAAATGTTCTACACTACTGAGGGTATACACAAACACTTGTTATCTTGAAAATAGGTTCTTATTCTCGTACGGGAGACAAATACAGAGGAACACTAGACAGAGGGCTTCCTCACCATAAGGACTAGCGATCTCAACTTTCTGTATCACTCCACGTTGGCATGTACAGATGCCAGCGTTCACAAGCTGAATACATAAAATGTAAATATGGTAATTCACATACAGTACATAACATGGTGCATAATAAATGGAAATATTACATAGGATTAATACATGTTCTGTAATACTTTACTATACATAATTAATAGAGTAATATAAGAATACACAGCTTAAGGTACTACTTCGTGTCCATATTATACAAACTTGTGCTTCTCCAGGTGATTTCAAATAGAGTCTGAAATTATTGCTTCCAGTAATTTGCTTACAATTGATGTTAGACTAATTGGTCGGTAGTTAGAGGATAGTGATCTATCTCCCTTCTTGAAAATCGGTATTGCATTTGCTATCCTCCAGGATTCTGGTACTACATCTGTTTTTAAGGACATGTTAAACAACTTTGCTCAGGGCATACTAAGCTCTTCCTTACATGCCATTAATACTCTGGCAAATATCTCATCAGGACCAGGTGACTTATTAGGCCTTAGTTTATTTACAGCTCCTCCCCGACTTACGACGGGGTTAGGGACCCAAATCCAGGTCTTAAGTCGAAAATGCTTAAATAATACATAGAAAATCTAAATTGGGTGTCTCTTTTTCTTCTCAGCACCACAAAACTCTCACTTTTACGCTTGCCAGCCATTTTAAAGTGAATTACAAACAAAAATTTTGTCAGTACACAGCGCAATCACTGACATTTTGGTACGACTGAGGCGGTCGTATGTCCGGGTGGTCTTAAGTCGGGTTGGAGTTGTATTTGCTAAGTAACATCGTTACTTATAGTCACTACTATCTCGCTTAATTTATTTTCTTCACCATCTCTGTATAGAGTCGGTGCTTCAGGTATCATGTTTAAATTTTCGGTGGTGAAAACTTTTCAAAAATATTTATTCAGATTATTGCTCAGTTCTCCGTCGTTATCAGTTAGCTCGCCGGTATCTGACTGTATTGGTCCAATCTTTTCTCGTGTTTTAGTTTGATACATTTGATAGAATCCCTTGGGGTTTGACTTCTCCCTTGCTACCTTCAGTTCATTATTCCTCTTTGCTTTTCTTTTCTCGGTCTTAACCCTACTGGCCAATACCTCATAGTAATCTTGGAGGTAAACTTCACCACGATTTATTCTCCTACCTATAGCCTACCTTTGTCCAATAATAATCTTTAAATAATTATTTATCCATTTAGGGTCATTGTTGTTTGATCTGAGTTTTCTGTATGGTATGTTCTGCCTTTGTGCAATAAGTAACTCATTATATAAGTTGTTGTGGAACTCGTCAACCTCAGATCTCGTTATCAGGTCATTCTCAACCGTCAGGTCTCCGGGTAAGGTGAGGTCGCCCTCTGTGGGTACATTGTGTGAGGTCATGTAATTCACCCCCAAGCGTGATACCCCTTCTCTCAGCTGCCTCTTCAAACTATCAAAGTTTGCCCTTCTGAAATCTGGGACTTTAATGTAATTTTTTTTGCAACTGCCATTAAATTTTAGAGATGTACAACTATTGTCTACATGATGATGTTAGAGGTGTACAACTATTGTCTTCATGATGTTAGAGGTGTACAACTATTGTCTTCATGATGTTAGAGGTGTACAACTATTGTCTTCATGATGATGTTAGAGGTGTACAACTATTGTCTTCATGATGTTAGAGGTGTACAACTATTGTCTTCATGATGTTAGAAGTGTACAACTATTGTCTTCATGATGATGTTAGAGGTGTACAACTATTGTCTTCATGATGTTAGAGGTGTACAACTATTGTCTTCATGATGTTAGAGGTGTACAACTATTGTCTTCATGATGTTAGAGGTGTACAACTATTGTCTTCATGATGATGTTAGAGGTGTACAACTATTGTCTTCATGATGATGTTAGAGGTGTACAACTATTGTCTTCATGATGTTAGAGATGTACAACTATTGTCTTCATGATGTTAGAGGTGTACAACTATTGTCTTCATGATGATGTTAGAGGTGTACAACTATTGTCTTCATATTCATACACTTACAGATGTGTTTGCCTCTCTGTTTGAGGACAGTGACTTGGTGGCATCAGACCTGGCAGCAGCTCTGGTCCTGCTGAGGCTCAAGAGGAAGCATGAGGAGCGTCAGGAGGAGTCCTTCAGGAAGACCAACCTCCATATGCCCATTTGTCGCTCCTCCACGGCCAGCATTGGTGAGTGCCGTACAACAGACGGGTTATTGTAGATTTATTTGCTTGTACTATACATGTAGTGCTTGCCTATTGCAGATACGGGTATTGTCTGACTCATGATCTTCCTATCTACGATATTTCACTTGAACGATGGGCATGTATTAAGACCACCCCCCTATATATGATCAAAAAATTCACTTTAACGACGGTCATCGTTCGGCCGACGAGGAATGTGGAACGCATCTCTCGCTGTACTATCGGCTGCCGTCTACCCGCGTGAGGTCACCCGGTTCACTACAGTCCAGAGCTTTGTTCCCCGGTGATCACACGTGCCAGTGAGAGGACATCACTAACATTCACATTGTACTTTGTTTTGGTTACTGAATAAACAATGTAACTTTGAAAGCCAAGGCACCCAGGAAAACTGTGTCTCTGGAAGTGATAATTGACATTGAGAAATGGCATGAGACTTCCAAGAGGTTGTGTGGGAGTGACGTCTCCACTCCACCTTCAAGAGTCCCCTTAGCCTCGTGTAATGATGACCAGACTCGTTCTTATTGATGTGGTCGTTGTTGTTTAATTGTGTTTTATTAATAGTATTAGTGTATCAATATTATTTTGGGTGATACATGTGGGTGTCGTCCTGGCTGGGAACGTATCCCATTGAACCCCTTGTTGTAATGATCCGTGTCTATGATATTTTGACCTGTAATGGGGTTATCGGGATGGTAACCCCATCGTAAATAGGGAGATATCTGTATAGCAGTTGACCTGACTTGTGCTGCCTATCACAGTCTGCAAGTGTTGATGGAAGAACTATAAACAGCTGAGAGTTGTGTCTCGTAAATTGTGTAGATATTGCACACTATTATGAAATATTTGAATAAGACTTTTGGCTAAATCTAAGCATTTCTGTTCAGGTGCTCTGCAGGATGAGGGAGGACTGCCGCACCAGCAGTCACCTCGCCCGGAGTGGATGAAAGTCGGCAGCGCTCACCACTTTATGAAATTTGCCCTGGCATCGTATGGCTGGCCATGGTTTGTGTATGGGAGGTTTTGTCAGGCGTGCTGCTCCCTCTGGTCCCACTTACACTGCTGTACGTGTTGCAGGTAAAAATATCTTCCATTAGTGTTTTTAAAAGTGTCTAGTAACAAAAAAAAAAACAAGTCATGACTTGTATCAGGTAATAACCCATTTGTGTTCAAGTATAGCTTACACTTGTGACACTAGGTCTTGATCTTGTTACTAGCACAGCACAGCACAGCACTGTACTGTACTGTACTGTACTGTACTGTACTGTATAGGGACAAACACTAACTATAATACTGCTTTCTTTATTTGTACTGGCTGGAATATCATATATGGATTTTATTAAGTGCGAAATAAAATAGAAAAAATTCCTAACTTAATCATTTTAATTTGTGAAAATAACAATATTAATGTTTAATATCATAGAGGAAACGGTATTGTACAGGAGACAGATTGTTGGTAATTGAATAACATCATTAATTACCTGGGTAATATGAGTTTCTGGGATAGGATCTAAGAGCTGCACAGCACAGTACAGTACAGTACAGTATCCTTACTGCTGAGTCTAATGAATTTCAGAATGAGCAGTATGGCTGTTGTGTTATTGCAAGGGTTGGTATGTCTGATTGTAAATGCATTTCTTAATACTGTAGTGTTGTAATAATATTTATAGCTCCTCTTTATGTTAACTTTGGAATGAAAAACATAAGTTGCGATATAATTTTCTTGAAGCCAAGATTCCACAGTTTGCTTTGTTTTATGCTCAGGTACAGTATTTAGACAACTGAGGAGGTAAGCCGCCATACAGTATATAACATATAATGTGGCTGCAACAAAATAGTTAACATAGGTTAGGATTGTATTTGTTTAACTGTAATGCAAACTCACGGACTGTTGTTCTGTTTGTAAAAGAATTACGAATATAATGTTTAAATTGGCAGGTGTCAATGTTTACAATGTAGCGCTCATGTGATCCTAAACCTAATAATTGTATCATGTTAATTGTTCTTACACTGTACAGTACTTGGTGTTATAAACATGTTTTGATGAGTTCAACTGTAAAACTTGCCAACTCCATTTTCAGTAATCTACAAACCTCAGTCTTGTTCATCTTTTTGAAAGGTCGACTTTTGGTGATTACAAAGAGTGGTGTTGGGTGATGAGTCACATTTATTTACACATACCGTAAGGAACATCATGTGATTCATCATCTTGATGTTCACTATGGATAGTTGCCAAGTATTGTGTGCAGCCATTATCACTATTCTCAGTGAGGTCTTAAGTTTATTTTAGTTATGCTATTACTGTACTGTACTGTATATAGTATATACAGTACAGTACAGTAATAGCATAACTATATACATTCATGGAATATAAGTTTTCGATGCACACTGTCTGACAACTTTATATGCAAAACATTCTCATCTATTCTGGGGAAAGTTTAATTTAATTTGTTTATTTATGTTTCATTTTACACCACTCTAACCACCGCCAAAGTACAGTGGTCCCTCGGTTAACGAACACAATTCGTTCCAGAGGGTCGTTCGTTAACCGAAAATTTCGTTAACCGAATCCATTGTTTCAATGGGATTTTGGGTAATTGGTTCCAGCTCACCGAAAATTACATACGAACTAAAAATTAATGCAGTAAAGTACACTTACTTTGAGGTGTGTATGTAGAAGGCTCCTGGTTGATGATGATGATGATGATGGGAATTAGAAGTGGGGGTGGAGGAGAAGGGAGAAGAGAAGGAAGTGGGGGTGGAAGAGAAATCACCCCATGCTTCGTGCCGTCATTTCACCCATAAAATTTTTAGTTCACTTGGTGTAATTCAATTATATTTTCTTTAAATCAACACTGCACTGCACTGTATATTGTCAATAAATCAACACTGCACTGCACTATACTGTATATTGTCAATATGTTAAATAAATTTCAGAATGACCAATAATTGTACTGTAAAAATGTAAAAATATTTTATGTTCAAGAGAGTCTCAAGCAAGATGTTTCCTCCACTGAACAGAGATACAAACTGAGGCCTTGGTGGGTGAGTGAAGTGGGTGATTGGTGCACCAAAAACTAGTTCCCTGTACTGCAATTATGTTAAATAAGTGTTAAAATGACAAAAAAAAATTAATATAAAGCTTGGACAATTATTGAATAGTACAACAGATTTCAGATTTGCCCCCGAGGGGGCTAGTTTATTGGGCACCCCCTTACATCCTGTGCAAGGTGAAGCGCAGAAGCGTTTACAGCGCCCAATAGGGAAGTATGAAAAGTTCATACTTGCCTTTATGACTCGTACATTAAGGGCGTAAAAGCCTGAAGGGTCATAGGTTTTGTCAAGTTACATAAAGTGAGGGAATGATGAGTGTGTGGGGGGAAAGTTCCCGGTACATTTTATCTGTTTATGGCAAAGAGTGGCAGGTCCCTAATAATGTCAAATGCCAGGCCTGTGACTAGGAGGAGGGATATCTGGTCTGGGAGGGAAGAGGTGTGAATAGTACAACCTTCTTGATATTTACTCCAATTTTAACGAATATAAGCCCTAGAACCGATTACTGTATTGGCAGACTAATCTTCCAGCTGGTGAGCAAGCCAAAGCATGTCAAAACATTTTTGTAAGAATTTCATTAACCAAATTTTTGTTCGTTAACCGAAATGAGGATTCTTATGGAAGGTAATTCGTTAACAAAGGCCTTCTTAACCGAGGGACCACTGTACTTCTGCTCCCCAAATTTGGGTAATTGGTATATTCAGGATCAGGTCCAGGGTCCACTGACCTCATCCTGAATTCTGTCAGTCATCCAAATTATCCCTCAACTCAGGAGACAGGTCATGTGACTTTGTTCTTTGTCTTTTTTCCCTGTCAGTTGGCTGAAGTGAAACTCAAAGTGGCCTAGAGGCGTGCTAAATGCCGTGATTTCTCGTGATTTTTCATCGAGTGGTATTTGCCAATACCCACTAAGCAAATCTAAGTTGCTAAATACCGCATTATCCTTGCCTAAGGATTGCAATATGTCGCTCAAGATAGGCATTGGGTACCTATCAGGGATTGTTTGATCATTTACGCGCCTGCAATCTATGACGGCGCCATCCACCATCCTTTTTCGGGACGAGGAATAATGGGCTGTTAAAGGGGGATTTTGAGTGTCTAATGACATTCTCATCTAACATACCCTGTACCATATCTTGCACTACAGCGCGCTGGCTATGAGGTAGTCTATAAGCTGGTACGTAAATAGGGTTGGTTCCTTCCTTTAACGCTATATGATGGGATGTTAAATCTGTCTGACCTAGCGTTTCCCCTGGCAAGGCTACTATATGTCTATAGTCGGCAAGCAGCTCTAACAGGCGTGTCTTGCCCTGAGGATGATCGATCACCTTAACATGTGGCGCTACTTGATCTATCCTGGCCAGTCGAGTCTGTTGGCAATTCGCAACAATACCTCGAATTGGGAATTTATTTGGTTGCACTTCGACATTGTTGTGATATCTAGAAAATCACACAAATAACATCCTTTATTTAAGATTCGTGATATTGTGAAATTGCTGCCGCAATCCCGTAGACTTGTGTGTGTGTGTCTCAGCAGACACAGCTGATTCCAAGGTCCGGTGATTGGGTCAATGTTCACAAAAAATCCTGAGTATAGCAAACCGCCGCTAATGGTCACACAACGTCATCCACAACACCATACCTCAGAATGCAGAGACCATCTCTCAGACCGGATGTGTCATCATCACTAGGGTGGGTGCTGAGTGCTGGTAACTGGGGGTTGTTCACGCCATACGAAAGAATTTTGTTGACAGGATGTTGATTGATGAGTAGTCTCAACAACTGCAGTCACGTCCTGTCACACCCTGGGCAGTGAACAAATCATTTGCAGAAACTAATGTTCACTTCAGCTCACAGGATTGTTGCGTTGGTGAATTCCTCATTCTGGTAATGGAGAGTACTCTTCAAAATTGCAGGTACTATCTTCCAACTCTTGCTGCTGTAATCACGCTGGGAAGGTGTGTGGTTGAGGTCGAGAGATATCTCTGACGCATGATCCGCCTTCCTCTTAATAGGATTGGTAGACAACACTTTCGTCCTAGCGGTGAGCATAGGTTCAGAATGACTCATTGCTGTGTAGGAAACACCTTTAAACGTAACACTATTATTACGTGGATGAACATCTATCATGTTCTTTCGAAGAGTTGGTAGACCAAGTAACCCGTCAGCTGGCAAATTAAACTGCTGAACTATATAAAAGTCCGCGTAGAAGGGAGAACCACGTCTTGAGAATCTGAGTGGTAACGTCACCATTCCTTTGATGCTCAGCTGAGTACCTGAAACTCCTTCGAGCTCAGCGTTACTAGGCCTCCATTTGAATTTGTGGTGAGGGAATTTACGTTGTAACTCGTGATATGATGTCAAGGCCAATACATTAGCGCAAGCACCTGTGTCTATATCAAGAGCCAATCTGGTATTATCCACTCTCACCGGCACTGACAACACTTCCACTTTTCTAAGCGCCGCTATTAACGAGGCTGCTATAGACGTGCTGTGAGGAGGGGTGGGAACAACCCTATCTATCCCTCTCCGTGCTGTGGTGTGCGCTTGTCTTCTCCCAATGACTTGTCCTGGGGACGTTTCTGCTTGTGCCTATACGACACCTCCGTTTCACTTAGGTCCACTCCCCTAGCCTTTATTAGTATATCGCACTCATGTGAACTATGAGATGTCGATTTGTGAAGAGCGCACCATTTGCGCACTGTCTGGGTAGGAGGAGGTGCTGCTTTGGCTACCTCACTGTTTGACCTTGAGAATGGCTTTGCACCGGGTGTGGCCTTAAAATTAGCACTATTACCTCGGAGCTGAAAACAATCTTCCATTACGTGGCCACGTTTATTACAATGTGCGCATCGTAACGATGTTTTCTGTTTATATGTTAGGCGGAGAGGAGCGATCGGAGCTAAGTGTGTCGCATAAGGAGTCTGAGAGTGAGGCATCTGTGACATCTGAAGTTGGCCCAGCTGTGACCTACCCCCAAAAATCCCAATTAGCGTTCGCTTGAACTTTTCATAGTCAGGACT